CTGCGGAAAACGCTTAGGTGTAAACCTAGGGTATTACATGGTGGAGGCTGCCTAAAATGGAAACGGGCAAGAAAAAAAAAAAAAAAAAAGACAACATCCAAACAAATAAAACAACAACAACCAAAACCAAACAAACCACCAACCAAATAAAACAACAACAAACAAACAAACAAAAACAACAAACAAGAACATCAACAAGAACCCTAACTCTTTTTTTTAAGGTTAGGGGTTAATTATTATTTATTTTACATTTATTTATTCATATATAATTCCTAGTTTTTTAAACATATTCATTTGAGCAGAAAGTCGCGCATAACACGCTTTAAAACGCGCCAACTGTGTGTTTCTATTTTTCCAAAAGTAGCTCCAAAAACGTTTTTGAGCTTCAGGCGACTTGGAGTCAGGGGCGGACTGACAACTCATGTGGCCCCCCGGCAATAGGGGATCATGGGGCCCCTGTGTCCTCAAAAAAGCCTATGAAAAAGGTACTAGGGGCATCTCATGGGGCCCCCTACTGACCCCCGGGCCCTCAGGCAGTGCCTGAGTTTCCAAATGGTCAGTCCGCCCCTGCTTGGAGTGAAGATGTGAACCATCTCCATAGAAATAATGATTGATTCCCCCCCCCCCCCCCCCCCCCGAGCGTTTTGGAGCTTTGCGCTATAAACCGCTCAGGTGTGAATGGGGACTAAGGCTATTGGTGGGGGCAAAGGGTGTAATACTTACCTTATTGCTCACTCCTCCACATTGTGTACCCAGCCCCCCTTATTCCTCCACCCCTAGACTTAACCCTTGCAGTGTAGAGGAGCCCATCGTTTTTGGGGGGGTTTTCTGTTAGCAAGACTTCACTGTAACATGACTGTCATTATGGATGTTTCACCCCGAGACTCCCACTCTCTAAGGCTGCAATAATTTCTATAGTCCTAACCCCTCCTCCTCTCTGTTTGAATCACCCCCTCCCCCACAGTTCACAGAATGATTTCACTTGTTGCTGGAATTGCTGATTAATATCTTGTTCATACAGTAACAAAGCGGCATGTGTTTGGTTTATTTTTCCACAAACCTGCTGTGAATCAAATGGCACATGGCGCTCCGGATGTCACTTCCGCTGTCCTGGCCGGAGAAGCAGCACAGTGCCTTGTTTGCCAATGACAAGTAAATAAGAAAAGGAAGGAAATGTAGACAAGACGGTCTTACAGCTGAGCTTAGAGCAGGAAATGTGCGGAAGATTGTTCACAGGCAGCTAGGAAACCATTTGTGATATTCCACAATGACGTGATAATCAGACAATCCGCTCCTACTACCTCCAGGCTCAGGCAGCCATTTGTCATGCATTTTCAACAGCCCCAATGAGTAGGCTTCAAAATGCACATCAATGGAAGGAATCCACAGCACGGGACTGTTTTGCAACACAAGAAATTGGTGAAAATACTAGTTTTCTTCATATGCATGGATTTGCTGGAAGTAGAAGTTCAGTGAAATATAGGACGATGCACCTAGATCCCTGGCACCCAGTCTGCAGCCACGTAAATCTTAGTCCGAGTTCACACTAACACGGTGCGGCACATTGCATGCGATTCACTCAGGAACCGAACCGCGTTGCTGTGCAAATCACATGCAATGTCTGCGCCGTTGTTGTAAGCCATACATTTTTTACAGCTCAAATCGTATCGCATCTGCGCCAAAAAAGATGCAGGACCCCTTTTTTTTTTCCCCGCACCTGATGTGATGTGAATTCTGGTAACCGCACTGTGTTTTGCCATCTGTTTCAGGGTGTCATTAATTTGACATTGACACCCGTACCAGATCGCATGAATGCCATGCAAATGCAATGCGGAGCGGGAAACGCACAGGATTTGCTGTGTTTTCCGCACTGCATAAGTCCAAGTTCACACCTATGCATTTTTCCGCTGCGTTTTGCAAAAACGCACAGCAGCCCATGATTTCCTATAGGATATGTTCACATCTCTGTGTTTTCACCCGGTGCGTTTTTTGGAAAGGGTCAGGGACTTTTTTAAATGCAAAACGTGGTGTTTTTGGTTCTATAGACTTCAATGGAGACGTTGCAGAAAAGCATGTTGTGCGTTTTTGATGCGCCAGCAACAGGTTAAAATAAGAAAAATCGCATCAAACTGCACAGGTGTGAACCAAGCCTTAGTGCGAATCAGGGCTTAGAGCAGGTTCACACTATACAAATACAGTCAAGATGCGTTCTGGATAGGTTTTGCATGCACATTTTTTATGCATTTGTGGCGCCTTCCAGTGTGTTTTTGATGCGTTCCAGTGCATTTTTTATGCATTCCAGTTAATTTTTTCCCCCTCTCTTTTTCTTCAATTTAAATAGAGACCTGTGCATTCCAATGCATTTTTGGTGCATTCTGGTGCGTTTTTGATGGGTTTTACTGCGTTCCAGTACAGTTCTGTGCAGAAAAAATGCTGCTTGTTCTACTTTTTTTCTGCAATCGGAATGCACTGGAACTGCAAGCACTGATGTGAACTATGACACTGACTACCGCTTTGGATGCAGAAAAAAAAAAGCAACTGAAACGCATGTAGTGTGAACTGGCTCTGAACCCAGGTTCACACTGATGCGGTGCAGAATTTGCAGCGTTTTATGTGTGAATTCTGCACCACATCACAATCGCACCCCGTTCATGCAAACCATGTTAACAACACACCCCAAAATCGGTCCACAAAACATGGTGCGATGTGCAGAATCGGGTATTCACACCTAGCGCGGACCAAAAAAAGGGTCCTGCACCTTTCTGGTGTGGGTGCCGTGCGATTTGAGCCATACAAAATGTATGGCTCCAATCTCTCCACACACAAATCGCATGTGATGTGTACAGGAATGTGGTGCGGTTCCTGTGCGAATGACATGCGATGTACTGCACCGCATACGTGTGAACCCGGGTAAAGTTACACAGCTCTGCACAGAAACCAATCAGCTTCCACGTGTTTTTTTGTCAAAGCTTAATTGAACAAGCTGAAGTTAGGCTGGACACATTATACAATTTTCTTGAGAATTTTGCTTTAGATTTACCAAAAACCATATAATATGAGGTTAAACCTAAACAACACTTTCAGTTGTATCCAATCAGGTGGGCCCTTGCACTACATAGTTGAAGGTAAATCTAAAGGTAATTGGGCAGAAATTGGCAGAAAATTGGAGCCTTAGAGAAAATTTTTGTCCAATTTCCTTTATAATGTAGATGGCCAGCCGTTCAATAGGCCGACTGGCCAGTAAAAAAAATATCCACTATACGGCCCGGCAATTACCTTGTCTGTCCAATTTCTGCCCATTTTGTATCCATTTTGGATTTCCAATGTTTAGATTTATGTCTTCAACTATGTAGTGCGATAAAAAAGGGTCATTGCCTAATTCGGCCGACTTTACAATTGAAAGTGTTAACGGTTAGGTTTGACCTTGACCATAATATTATATGGTTTTTGGTAAAACTAAAGCTAAAGCAAAAATTCTCAAGAAAATTGTATAGTGTATGGCCAGCCTTAGAAGCTGATTGGCTACTATGCAGAGCTGCACCAGATTTTGCACGCTCCAGTTTTAGTAAATCAACCCCACACTGTCATAGGCCAAAGACAACACACCCTCTAAATAAAGGAGAGAGGGGAAAAAAACAGTATGTTTTGTCTAACCAGCTTAATGAGTGAAATTTCCTGGCTGTAAAACCCTAATTTGTTCTGAATAAAAAATCTATTTTCCTGAAATCTCTAATTAATATTATTATTATACAGTATTTATAAAGCGCCAATAGTTCGCTCAGCGCTGTACATTACAAAGGGGGACAGAACATGTGACAGAACAATACCAATACAATGCAAAACATGAGGGGATCGAGGGCCCTGCTCCTTGGAGCTTACAATTTAGGAGGGAGGGGATGGTGGTACAGGAGGAGATAGCTGTGGGGGATGGAGTGGTAGGAAGAGTGGAGGAGGTCGGCAGGTTAGCAGGGGGTGAAGAGAAGAGATGGGTTTTCAGGGTGCGCCTAAAGGAGAGGAGAGTAGGTGATAATCTGATGGGTTGGGGCAGGGAGTTCCAGAGGATGGATGACACCCTGGAGAAGTCCTGGAGGCGGGCATGGGAGGAGGAGACCATTATCACCAAGTCCGACACCCTGCTGTGGGTCCCCCTGCTGTCTCTGTGAATAAAGTGTGCTTCAATAGATGAGGACCCCCCTTAGTCCTATATGTGTGCCCGGACGGAAGGAAAAATCAAGTCATCTGAGGTCTACCTGGCACCGCAACGTATGGCCGCCTTACTTATCTTGCAGTTTTGACTATAGCAGATATCAGTATTACTGTATCTATAGGGTACATTCCTGGGATGCCATAAGATGAAAACAAATCACATAATATTATGCCTTTCTGAAGATAAATACAAGCCAGAAACAATTCTATGGTAAAGAGAACCTGTCATACAGTCATAGAAAATGTACTACAGCCTGTACAGGCATTGATTGCTGAATAGACCTTCCATGGGAAGGATGGTTGTTACAATATATCTAAAGACAAAACTGTCATTTTGGATAGAGTAGGGCAGGGGTGTCAAACTGGTGGCCCTCCAGCTGTTGCCAAACTACAAGTCCCATGAGGCATTGCAAGATTGACAGTTACAAGCATGCCTCTCAAAGCCAAGGGCATGATGGGACATGTAGTTTCACAACAGCTGGAGGGCCGCCAGTTTGACACCCCTGCTTTATATCTATAGAAACTACAAGTCCCATCATGCCTCTGCCTTTGGGAGGCATGCTTGTAACTGTCAATCTTGCAACGCCTCATGGGACTTGTAGTTTGGCAACAGCTGGAGGGCCACCAGTTTGACACCCGTGGAGTAGGGGATGGGGAAGCTCCTATAATTTTTTTTTTCCATCACCTGTGTCCATTTGGGGAGATCTCCCTTCACTTGTATTGCAGACACAGTGGGGGAAATCCCTTCTTACACTAGGTTAACATCTAAGCGTTTTCCGCACCACTTTGCAGAAACGCACTACAGTCCATTTAACATGATTTCCTATGGGACATGTTCACATCTCAGCGTTTTCACCCAGTGCATTTTTTGGAAAGGGTCAGGGACTTTTTTGAACGCAAAAAGTTGCGTTTTTGGTTCTATAGACTTTCAATGGAAATGCTGCATAAAAGCATGTACAGTAGTGTGTTTTTGCTGAGTTTTTGATGCATTTTAAATCTACATTTTAAAGCGAGAAGGTATGCATTTGCTAGACGAGTGAGGTGCCATTAACAATTAATGGCACCCATGCGTTTCTGCAAAAGGCAGCATGTTTTTGTACAGCGCAGGAAAATCTGCCGTTTTGCCCTTAAACACATAAAATGTAACTCTGGTTGGGTTGTTAAGGGAATAACTATCCACTTGCAGCTAGATACATTGCAAGCATTTCAGCAAACTATTCTGCAGATCTTTATCGGATTCTATTATACAGATACGGCAACAGACCAGTTCAATGTACTTGCTGACATGTTTAAGTGAAATGTTTTGTCTTTAAAGTACGGGAAGCGGAGTCTACCTGCTGAGTAGTTTAGTTTATCTTTAAAACGTTGCTGTTCTGCCCTGCCTGTAATTATGTGATCCTGGAACACATCTGCTGGTGATGCTAGAACACCCACTTTGCTGCCTCCCACACACAAAAAACTGCAGAAAGAAAAAAAATCTCACGGCAGACAATCAGATTTAACCAGCCTTGGATATCTGCAAAGGGGAAGGATAGATGTGGGGCACTGGATCCTGGTTAAGTATTAGGTAGCTCTTCTAAGTTCAAGGGTCATGGATTTGCTCATATCTTAAAGCAGAAATCCATTAATTTTTTTTTTCCTATGCAACGGGGCTATTCCCACACTGCATGGGTTAACTTCTCGTTTTGTCCAGGAGCACACAGAAAGGATATACTTACCCAATCCCTCGATCCTCCGGAACACAGCACTCCCCTACGTCCAGCAGTGGACTGTTCCTGCCATTCTCATGTCCAGAACCGTTCTATGGAAGTGATGACATCAGGAACATTCCATGCACAGGATCACTAACATGTGGGGCAGAAGCAGCAGGAACCAGTCTTGTGATTAGAAAATTGGCAGATTGGGTGAGTATATCTCCCCTCTTCTCGCCCCTAGACAAAATTGAGCAGTTAACATATGCAGTGCAGGCACAGCCCCACCGCATGGGAACAAAAAAATTCTTCTTTAAAGCTAAAGTTTTTCTTTTAGCCTCACGGCTCTATTTGCATCACTTACATGTAAAGAAGGATGTCCCATGCTGCATCAACAGCTGGATCCTAGAGAAATCTTCACTGAAGGGCTGCCCCTTCCTCTTCTTGCAGCTGAACTTCCAGCAAGCATGGGGTTAATAGCTTTGGATCCGAGATTGAGCTGCTATTAAATTTGCTCCCAAGGAGGACCGGCTCTCTCCTTTCTCCTCCTTCACTGAGAAAAGTTCTTTGATCACTGCCTGTAACAGGATCTGTGAATGGGGGAGAGAGAATCCTATGACTGATCAGACTCTTCCATTCAGAGATTGTGTTAGAGGCAGTGAAAGCAATCAAAGATTTTTTTTCTCAGTGCTAAGTGGAGGAGGAGGAAGAACGGGGAGGATCCACATCAGGAGCATTTTTTTTTTTACAGCAGCTCAGCCCAGACCCTGAAGCTACTTAACCCCCCTGTGCACTTGCACTGGAAGTTCAGCCACAGGAAGAGGACAGGGCATCCCTTCAGTGAAGTTTTCTAAAATATCCATCTGCCTGCACAGTGTGGAATAGCCTTCATTAGGCTGCATTCACACCTGCGTGTTTCTTAAATGCACAACAAAACACACCTACATGTGTGTCTTCTCAAGTGTGTTGGAAACATGCTACAATCGCGTTGCAAAATGTGTCATGCTTGTGGTGCCATTAATTGTTTATGCCACCCCAAGCACAGATAGCAGAAGCACATTTTACTATGCACTTTTTGCATGGCAAACATTCTACAAACCAAGCCATGCTCCCCTCCAAAAAAGGGTGGGAACGCACATTCCTACTATGCTGAGGTGTGAATGGGGCCTTACAGGTAAGTGATGTCACCAGAGCCGTGTGGTTAAACAAACAACAAACTTCAGCTTGAAAATGAACTCTGCCATAAGCAAATATTATCTAAATACAGTGCCTTGAAAAAGTATTCATACCCCTTGAAATGTTCCACATGTTGTCATGTTACAACCAAAAATGTAAATGTATTTTATTGGGATTTTATGTGATAGACCAGGGGTCTTGAATTAAAATTTACGGAGGTCCAGTTAGCAAAATTTCCTTCCAGCCGAGGTCCAAATCTCGTTAGTGATATAACACATCACAGTCCCCTCTTTATAGAAGTCCCACACTGCCCCCCTTCACATTACAGAGCCCCTAATACAACATAGCACCCCTTAACACAACACAGTGCCCCTAATACAACATAGCACCCCTTAACACAACATCCCTTAACACAACACAGTGCCCCTAATAAAACATAGCACCCCTTAACACAACACCCCTTAACACTTAACACAGTGCCCCTAACACAACACCCTTACACAACACAGTGCCCCTAAACACACACACCCCTTAACACAACACAGTGCCCCTAATACAACATAGCACCCCTTAACACAACACCCCTTAACACAACACAGTGCCCCTAATACAACATGCATCACCCCTTAACACAACACAGCACCCCTTAACACAACACAGCACCCCATCACAACACAGCACCCCCATCACAACACAGTGCCCCCAACACAACATAGCGCCCCCATCACAACACAGCACCCTTATCACACACAGCGCCACATCACAAGTGCCCCTAACACAACACAGCGCCCCATAACAACACAGCACCCCTTAACACAACACATCACCCCTTAACACAACACATCACCCCTAACACAACACAGAGCCCTTAAAAACAACACAGCGCCCCCATCACAACACAGCGCCCCCATCACAACACAGCGCCCCCATCACAACACAGCACCCCTTAACACAACACAGTGCCCCCATAACAACACATCCCCCTTAACAAACACAGCACCCCTTAACACAACACACAGTGCCCCCATCACAACACAGCACCCCCTCACAACACAACACAACACAGTGCCCTTTAACACAACACAGAGCCCCCATCACAACACAGCGCCCCCATCACAACACAGCGCCCCCATCACAACACAGCGCCCCTTTTTAATGCAATCCTTCCCCTGCACAGTCCTATGGTATCTTAGGTAGAGCAGAGGCACTAATCCTTCTGGGGTGTCCTCTCCTGGGCCTCCAGCCTGCCACCGATGCCATCCTCATAGCGGGCGGGAGTGGGAGGTACTGCAGATCAGCACTGTGGGGCGGGAGCTGCCCAAGTTATTATGTTAACAAGTGGGTGATTGCCTGGCTTGCTAATATGAAAAGACTTCCTCTTTCTGTCTCGAGCTGCAGACAGCGGAAGTCTTTACATATTAACAAGCTGGGTAATCACCAGCTCCCACCACTCAGTCCCAATCTGCAGCTCCTCACACCACGCCCACTGTGATGATGACATCGGTGGCTCAGTGAGATGCACGAAAGAGGATACCCAGCTGTGGCAGTGGCATGGCTGCAGTCCGGACAGGACTGTTCCTCGGACCGTGGTCCGCCATTTAGTGACCACTGTGATAGACCAACACGAAGTAGCACATAATTGTGAAGTGGAAGGAAAATGATAAATGGTTTTCAACAATTTTTTCAAATAAATCTGTGAAAAGTGTGGCGAGTATTTGTATTCAGCCCCCCCGGAGTCATTACTTTGTAGGAACCACCTTTCACTGCAATTACAGCTGCAAGTCTTTTTGGGGATGTCTCTACCAGCTTTGTACATCTAGAGAGGGACATCTCTGCCCATTCTTCTTTGCACAATAGCTCAAGCTCTGTCAGATTGGATGGAGAGCGTCTGTGAACAGCAATTTTCAAGCCTTGCCACAGATTCTCAATTGGATTTAGGTCTGGACTGTGACTGGGCCATTCTAACACATGAATATGCTTTGATCTAAACCATTCCATTCTAGCTCTAGCTTGGATGTTTTCGGGTCATTGTCCTGCTGGAAGGTGAACCTCCACCCCAGTCTGAAGTCTTTTGCAGACTCTAACAGGTTTTCTTCTAAGATTTCCCTGTATTTGGCTCCATCCATCTTCCCATCAACTCTGACCAGCTTCCCTGTCCTCTGCTGAAGAAAAGCATCCCCACAACATGATGCTGCCACCACCATGTTTCACAGTGGGGATAGTGTGTTCAGGCGATGATCTGCAGTGTTAGTTTTCTGCCACACATAGCGTTTTGCTTTTAGGCCAAAAAGTTCCATTTTGGTGTCATCTGACCAGAGCACCTTCTTCCACATGTTTGCTGTGTCCCCCACATGGCTTCTTGCAAACTGCAAACGGGACATCTTATGGTTTTCTTTCAACAATGGCTTTCTTTTGCCACTCTTCAATAAAGGCCAGATTTGTGGAGTGCACAACTAATAGTTGTCCTGTAGACAGATTCTCCCACCTGAGCTGTGGATCTCTGCAGCTCCTCCAGAGTTACCATGGACCTCTTGGCTGCTTCTCTGATGAATGCTCTCCTTGCCCGGCCTGTCAGTTTAGGTGGATTGCCATGTCTTAGCATGTTTGCAGTTGTGCCATACTCTTTCCATTTGCCGATGATGGATTGAACAGTGCTCCGTGGGATGTTTAAAGCTTGGGATATTTTTTTACAACCTAACCCTGCTCTAAACTTCCCCACAACTTTATCCCTGACCTGTCTGGTGTGTTCCTTGGCCTTCACGATGCTGTTTGTTCACTAATGTTCTCTAACAAACCTCTGACGGCTTCACAGAACAGCTGTATTTATACTGAGATTACTTTACACACAGGTGGTGCCACTAGATTTTAGTTAGGAGTATAGGAATAAAGAGGGCTAAATGCACACCACACTTTTCAGATATTTGTAAAAAAAATTTGAAAACCATTTATCATTTTCCTTCCACTTCACAATTATGTGCCAATTTGTATTGGTCTATGTCATAAAACCCAATAAAATACATTTACGTGGAAATGTGGAAAATGTTAAGGAGTATAAATACTTTTTTAAGGCACTGTACAAGAGTCGTGTGTTATTCATTGAATCTTGATGTGCTTTGTGTATTCCTTCCAGATCTGTGCAGTCTGCAGTGTGAAGCTTTACCCCTGTGCAGGGGCTTCCTGTATTAAAGACCGGTCACTGCTGCTCTCTCCTTCTGCAGGATGACTGGTCTCGTCTCCGCCCCCTTCTGTAGTTTTCTGCAGGCAGCCTGGAGTGGGCAGGGCCCGGTGGGTCCCTCCTACAGCTCTGCTCTCTGCACAGGTTATGTACAGCACAGTGATGATGTCACTGCTACTTTCACAAAGTAATATCTGGGTTGCAAAGACATATGGTGAACACAAAGTGGATTTATATAATTTATGTCTATGGATGATTGTATTTAAATGAAAATTTTTGTGCAGAGAGTTCAGTTTAAATCAACTTAGGCTCTATGTACACGGGACACTTCTGAATGATGGAAACTGACTGCTGAAATAAGGAAAGTTAAAAAATGTCTGTTTAGCCGCGTTTGCATACCGCGGTTATGTGCGTTTATGAGCGTTTGCATTTAGAAGCGTTTTTTAAAGATAACCTCAGGAGACCTTCCAAAATACCCAGAATGCACTGGAAAACAGTAAAAAAAAATTACTAGCAATAAAAGTGAGCACACAGGAACAAGCACAGCTGCTAGCATAAAAGGATGAACCCCTTGATCCTCAGATAGATCATATAATACATATATGCAGCGCTAAAATTGAAGTGACTAAGTGCATAACATGCAAAAATGAGATTTGCGCAAAGTTGGTGAATTCCAACAATGTCAGCAAGTGACAAGGGCAAAAGTGAATGGGTGAACATAAACATAAATTCATTAAATAAAGTGACAAATTGAATGTGAATATTCTATAACAAAACCAATTAGAACAACTCAGAAATGACCTAAAATAAAAATTATATATATAATGGATGAGGACAGTAAGTGCAAGCATACCTCATTCCCTTTACCACAGAAGTCACCTGCACCGAATCTAGATGTTACAGAAGTTGCTGGAACTCTTTATTTGATACTTAGGTGGTCCTCATCCATTCACTTTTGCACTTGTCACTTTGCTGACATTGTTGGAATTCACCAAAATGTCATTTTTGCGTGTTATTCACTTAGTCACTTCAATTGTAGTGCTGCAAATATGTATTATAAGTAAAAAATATTTCAGACATTTTAAGAGAGAGAGAGAGAGCAGAAGCAGAGAAAGCAGTATTTGTTGAGATTAGCTGTCTTTTTTTTTTTTTTTGTGGTGATTGGATGTGTTCCAGCTCATTTCTGTGCAGAAATCATTGCAGCAGTGTCTAACATATTTTCTTTCATGCGAAACTTCAAAGTATGGTGTACCAGGTCCATTTGAGTACCAGGAAAACACTTTGCATGTATTTTTCATGATGAAAAAAGGCTCTGGCCAGCATCTGGAAATGGAAGAGTTAAAAAAATTTCCCAAATGCAAACGCTTATAGCTGCGTTTAGAAGCGTTTGTTTGAAACGCTGATAAAATCTAGTCCTGAACGCAAGTTTGGTGCGTTCAAAAAAACAACCTTAAACTCAACTGCCTGTAAATGACTGTAAACAACGATGTGTACATGGACACATAGGAGAACATTAGGGGAAGTTCAGGGGCTGCTGAAAAAAAATGCAGAAAAGCTCTGAAACGTGAGTTTATCAGCTGCAGTGTACATGGAGCCTAATACTATAGATGCGAGGAGTAAAAGTGCTAAACAAGTTGTATTGAGTCAAGAATTTATTTATTAGAAATGGCATTCAATAAAAAGTCAATGTGTTTTTAGGGCTCACAGATTCCCCCTTTATCATTCCATGATTTTTCTTTGCAGCCCTGATGAAGAGGGACCCTCACAGCCCTAGAAATGCATTGGATTTAACTAAATGCAACCAAAAAAAAAGTTTTTTGGACTCCATACAAATTGATTGGGACATTCTTTAATTTGAATGTTGAAATGTGATTGGTGATGCAGGAATCAAATACAGAGAGAGGAAGTTACATGGCACAGTATTCAGGAATTACACTCCCAGTGACCTTCTATGGAGCTGGGTGTACCAAGCTCTGATCAAGGACTGACTGAACTCTCCAACGTTAGCACAGTTGCATTGCAAAGTATTAGAACAGGGGTGTCAAACTGGCAGCCCTCCAGCTTTTGTGAAACTACAAGTCCCATCATGCCTCTGCTTTTGGGAGTCATGCTTGTAACTGTCAATCTTGCAATGCCTCATGGGACTTGTAGTTTGGCAACAGCTGGAGGGCCACCAGTTTGACACCTGTGTATTAGAAGCTCCATGAATGATTTCACTTGCTGCCTGGAACTCTCCTTTCCCAAAAGAAACAGAGAGGCTGCCATCGCTGACTGCTCATTTTACTAATGCTAGTTGCCTGGCTCTTGAATGAGTCCAGAGTCCGCAGGTAAAGCTCCGTCTAATGACAATCTGAATGGAAAACTCAGCCGATTTAGATTTGGCACAACGCCGTGCACAGCTTCAGCATCTCGTTTTTTTTCCATTTCACATATTGCCTGACAATCTGCCGATCAATAAAATGTAAATGTCATGTAATATGGAATTTTTAAACAGATGTTGAAAAATACTACATTACCATCTATGAGACCACATTGCCATAACACAAAATATTACAAGGTTTTATTTATTGTTTTGACATTTTGTTGTCTTTTATGTCTTACTCTAGTTACAATTACCCAAACACATTCAAAGGCAAACAGCTAAACACACGGCTGAATTGTTAAGTCTCGGTTCACACTACTGCGACCTGAAAGCCGCACGACTTACAGTGCCACTTTGCCAGGCGACTTGAGTACTACTTTGACGCGTCTTTCAGGGAATGTCTGGGTAGCCTTCCTGTAATGTAGGATCGAGGGGCGGACTGACAACTCATGGGGCCCCCGGCCAATAGGAGATCATGGGGCCCCTGTGTCCTTGCCCAAACTCAAAAAAGCCTATGAAAAAGGTACCAGGGGCATCTCATGGGGCCCCCTACTGACCCCGGGCCCTCGGGCAGTGCCCGAGTTTCCAAATGGTCAGTCTGCCCCTGGTAGGATCGAAATTACATCAATATAGATGAGGATCCGACGTGGAGGCGACTTCCATTAAAGTCTATGGGCACAAGTCGGATAGAAGTCGCCCTGAAGTAGTACCGGAACCTTTTCTAAAGTCGGACCGACTTCAGCAGTGCTAAATAAGATGGCTCTCATTGACTAACATGGGATTTCACATGTCATGTGACTTGAGGTCTCACAAGTTGGATCCCAAGTCACGGCAGTGTGAACCGAGACTAAGGCTAGGTTCACACCTATGCAGTTTGCGTTTGATTTGTTTCTGCAGTGTGTTTTTGCACATGCTGTTTTTTTTCTAATTTCTTGTTGCTAGGCAGATTTAAAGCACAAAATGCATCAAAAATGCGGCAAAAACGCACCACATGATTTTCTGCAGCATTTCCATTAAAGTCTATAGAACCAGAAATGCACCAGGTGCAAACGCAGAGATGTGAGCGTGTCCCATAGGAAATAATGTTAAATGGACTGTAGTGCGTTTCTGCAAAATGCTTAGGTGTGAACCTAGGGTAAAGGCTCCAAGTACACTAACATTTATTTAAGCTCCTAGAAGCTGTTATCAGCATTTTTTCTGCTCCTAGAAGCTAAATAGTGTTGTCCTATGTGTCCATGCACACTACTTTAGGCTTTTGGCATTTTTTAAGCTTCAGTGTCTAGAAGCAGAAAAAAAAAAATATTTGTGCAGAGTTTTTTGGAGTGTTTTTCCATTAGAAAAAAAAAACGCTAAACACTCCTAAATGCTACTAAAATTCTCAGCTCAATTCTCAATCTAACAGCTTTTTTTCTAGCTTTTATTTTTCTCTACATGTACTGTAAAAACGCTAATGCTCCTAAAAGCTTCTGAACGCTACTAAAACGTGCCTAAAATGCTACTACAAACGCTATTATCAGCATTTTTATCCAGCGTTTTTTCCAGCATTTTTTGAGCTAGTGTGCATGGAGCCATACAGTATATGTGACATGTCTTTCCTGTTATAGGAATTATTTTCCATCCTCCTTGTGATTCGCATTCTATCCCCCTACCCCACAGCACAACCAGGATGGTGAGCTCACTTGCCTCCTAAAGGTCCCTTCACACAGAGTGGACCCATTTAGCAGATCCGCTTGCTCAGTGGGGGATCTCTGCGCTGATCCCTGCTGAGCAAGCGGATGACAGATGTCAGACGATGTAAAACGGACACATGTCTATTTATACCCGCCGATCCATAGAGACAAATGGAGGTTCCGATCGGATCCGCCTGAAAAACGGGCAGGCGGACCCGTTTAGAATGTCCGTGTGAAAGAACCCATAATAGGCAAATAATAAATCTCCAACCAGCTCTCAGCCTGTTAATTGGACAACAAAGGAACAGCAACACAATGATAAGGTTATCATTCTCTCCTCCTGTCAGCAAGTTGCCAGTGTTAGACCGATAGCATTGTGCAATGTAGTACTTTTTGCAAGTGAGTGTTTTTTTTTTTGTCATTCATGAAAATGCACGTGACCAGTGTGGTCACAGATATTGGCTAATAAGCAAACAGGAAATGAGTAAGCTGACAAGGCTAGATGGTCATGTTGCAGCTCGATCTGTTCTACTGTACTCTCTTCCTGTATGGGCACACAGGCTGAACCCCAGAGATCGCTGATAAATAGCTTCATAAATTGCAATCATTATTCCCAGCACAGACACATTTTTTGGGGGGGTATACAGATACTACAGGCAGCCCTCCCTCCATATGTACAGCCTCAGGGCTGCTGTTAGAAACCACGGGGCCCCATACAGCCAACCTGTGGGCCCCCCCCCCACCAAAACAAAAACACAGTTTACTATGCTTCAGTTATGAATGAACACAGTGATTGGTACCGATCACTCACTGTGCTCATTCAGGATAGGAGGAGCCTGGCAAATGTGACATATATACAAGACCCTTCCTCCACCCTCCATCCTGAAGGATCCTGTAGAGTGCTTGCAGCTGCTGGTGGGTAAGCCGGGAGCACTTCAGGAGAGGGGGCACACAGGGGAGCCTGAGCAGCAGGGGGAAACATGGTGCACAGAGATGGGGGATCAGCACGACAGGGGGGGGGGGGCAATTACTGGAACCGATCCCCTGTTCAGCTCTCTCTGCAGCCAGCAGGAGGGAGAGGAGGAGAAGAAGCCGGCTTTCAGCTACTGCAGAGAGCAATACAGGGGATCGCTTCCAGTAATTGCCCCCTCCATCGTGCCGAACTACCTCACTGCCTACATCTGATTCACCCAGCTGCCTGGGCCCCCCCTGCTGGCCTGAGCCCCATACAGGAGGACTGGTGGTACCCCCTTATCCACGGCTCTGTACAGCCTAGCCACTTGGAGTGTGCACACCGCATCTTTATCAGACATTGCTTGTTACACAACAATAGAACTGTGTGAAAGTTTACAGCAACGTGACTGATGGCAATCACTAGGAATAGTCGCTTGTTCAGGAGTGGCTCCTCACACACAACCATTTCACTTCCTTTTACTGTACAGCGAGGACAGACATATTTCACATACCTGTCAATGCCTTCCACACGCATCAAACACTGTTCATGGCTGCCACTGCTGGGCTCCTTCTGAAAATGCTCTTTGCCTGACATTCCAATTTCAATACTTTTAGAGTCACTGACCTGCAACAAGGCGACCAGCGAAGTCAGGACTCCTGAAATGCATGCTAGTTCTTAGAAAGCATTGAACCAATACGATAAGCACGTGCCACTGCATTTTCAGGAGACGTCAGCAATGGCTGATTACAACATTTGCTCACTATGGGTTTCCTTTAAGGGCTGTTTCACACTATAGAAACGCAGTCCAGATGCGTTCCGGATGTTTTTTTGAATGTGCATTTTTGATGCGTTCTAGTGTGTTCCAGTGTGTTTTTATGCATTCCAGTTCATTTTTCCCTCCTCTTTTTCTTCAATTTAAATAGGGACACAAGAGTTCCAACGCATTTTGGTTCATTCCAGTGCATTTTTGATGCGTTTTACCGCGTTCCAGTATAATTCTGTACAGTAAAAAATGGAGCATGTTCTGCTTTTTTTTCTGCAACGGGAACGCGCCAGAACTGCAAGCACTGATGTGAACTATGACACTGACAACCATATAACCTACTTTCTGTGTGTTTTGGATGCAGAACAAAAGCAACTGAAACGCATGTAGTCTGAACTGGCCCTTAAAGAAACCTACGAGGAAACGAACATTCCAGTTCATTTGTCCCCTTATCCTTTTCTTCAATATAAATAGGAGCATGTGCGTTCCAGTGCATTTTTAGTGCATTCCAGTGTGTTTTTGATGTGTTTTACCGCACTCCAGTACAGTTCTGTGCAGAAAAAAATGCAGCATGTTCTACTTTTTTTCTGCAACCGGAACGCACTGGAACTGCAAGCACTGATGTGAACTATGACATTGACAACTATATCACCTACTTTGTGCATTTTTGATGCAGAAAAAAAAGCAGCTGAAACGCATGTAGTGTGAACTGGCCCTTAAAGAAACCTAGGAGGAAATGAGCCTTCCATGGCTGTCAGGGCTGTCATTCTCATCCAGGATAGATTACAAGTGAACCGTTGACCTGGAACAAGCAGGCAGACAGCATAGTCTGAAGAGTATAAACTCCCATCCTGCATATTCTAGGTCAGCGACTCACTATTCAGTTTTGTAGAAAGTATTAATATTTTAAACCCAGCCTGGGGAGCTAATCCCACCAAGCACACTGTCTGCATAGAGTGTGACTCTTCTACTTGTCTGAGTTTCTTCCTAAGAACATACAGGTTGGTAAATTGGTCTAAAAGTGATACTCAAGAATATCATTATGCAGGCCATACATGGGTCGAATTCCGAACTATTTTTCGTCTGAAAACCGAAAACATTGTTCGCTCGGTAATCCAAAGGTGCCATCAAGGATTTCGAAAATTGGCCGACCAAGTCATAAAGTTCACCCCATATAACAGGCAAACTTCTGTTCCTTCCAGGTCATAGCTCATGCGCATATTCTTTTCATGAAAAACGATCGTATGATTTGACCATCGAGTCGAAAATCGGTCGGTTTTTCACAAATTTTCCAACATGCCTGATCACCGAAAAGGGGATGAACCACGAAAATCGGATGGTGCCATTGACCCACTAACAGAGCAAAAATCGGTCAAATTTTGACCCATGTATGGTCAGCATTATTCTCCAAAAATAATCTATACACATCCGCTACTTAATGGCCCTGTAATGTATTTTTCGTTAAAGTGGTTATAAACCCTTACATATACCCAGTGCAGTAACTGGCCTCAGGTGATGCATACAAATCCTTCTACATAGGTTGCACCTGTTTATCTGCAGCCCTCTCTCCTCTACAGCCTTCTGAAACACACAGATCTCAGCTACAGATGGCAGGGGGCGGGGATCTGATGCCACACAGTGCATAGCATAGAGCAAGGATCTGAGTGTAATCTGAGATCTGAGCGGAGGGAAAGGTCAACGTAGGGAAACATGCACAGCTGAGATTGTCAAATTCCTGCTGTGTGCTGGAGGGGGGCATGGCTGTCTCCCAGGATTGCCTGGTGTTGGCTTATGCTGTGAGAAGTGACTCGTGCAGCTAGTAGAGGAATGAGAGAGCAGACAAAAATTACACTAGGTGCTTTGGATAGAGGCAAGTACATACGGTACTTTGGAAGTGTATGCTTTGTAAATCTCTCATTTCAGAGGTTTACAACTTTAATTCATTCCTTACTGTATTTTCTGTCCTTTTTATGAGCTTCTGAGCTTCTCCTTTTCCCCCTCACTTCCTTTTGTTTGGACCCTGCAGTGCATGCTGGTTGTGAACATGAGTACTGCTCTATGCACACTACACATCCCACAGCCCATAGTCTCTAGTCCATCTCAGGAGCGAGCAAGAGAAGGCTATGTGGCTATGTTCCTACGTACAGAGAAACCATGGAGAATGAACACAGACATAGTTTTTGTTTTTTTTTAAGCAGAGTTTAGTGTCACATTAAATGGTGAGTTTGCTTTGAATATTAAAGTGGAGTAGCACTCACACTATAAAAAAAATAAGTCAGCAGATAGAAAAACTGTAGCTGCTGACTCTTAAAAGCAGCCACTCACCTGTCCCACGGATCCCGCGGTGTCCTCCCCGCAGCCTGTTTCATCAGCAATCCGGTGTTCCAGGCGCCGGCATCTTCAGTGTGGGCACCCGGCTGTGACAGCTTGCGGTTTCACAGCCGGGTGCCCTCTGCGCATGCGCGAGTAGCGCTGCGCTTCATGAATGGCCCCGTCGTCTTCTGGGACCTCTCACGTGTCGCACAAGACTACGGGGAGGGAGGGTAGGATGACAACTTCTGCTTTTGATCCCCTAGGCAATTGCAGCGAAAGTGGAATTGGGTACCTCTCAATTTCGGGTACCCGCTCCCCAAAGGTGCCAAACCTTAATGATGATTGGGGGATCAGTCTTTAAAGTGGAACTTCCCATTTTGGGTGGAACTCCGCTTTAACAAAGAATTAAATAGCATTTTTGGTTTGTGGTGCTCAGATGCAGTGCAGTTCCACTTG